CCATGGCGATCTATTCCCACTTCCACTCAGGAATCTCCAACGGCTGCGACTTGTCGTGAGATCTCAGATGCTCGGCCTTAACCCTGCGATATGTTAGACACCTCTCCACGAACCATGCAACGTCCCTCTTCATACAGGGCCACCAATACTCCCTTTTTAGGTCCAAATACATCTTAGTGGCCCCTGGATGGATCGAGAACTTCGATTGATGAGCCTCTTCCATCATAATGGTACGCGTTCCGCCCACATATGGTACCCAGATCCGACCCTGAAACGTCATAAGCCCCCGACCATCGGTGACGAAGTCTGATACTTACCCGAAAACCCGCTCTCTCTTCTGGTTTTCCGGCCTAACGGCCTTGACCTGAGCTCCTCGAATGGTGTCCAACACTGGAGTCATCACCGTCAACCTCATACAAATGTCACGCATCGGAACACTCTCCGCCCTACGACTCAAGGCATCAGCCACCACGTTGGCTTTTCCCGGGTGGTACAAGATCTCGCGATGATAATCCTTTACCACATCCAGCCATCTCCTCTGCCGCATATTCAGGTTGGGCTGATCCATCAAGTACTTCAGGCTCTTGTGATCCGTGTATATGGTACACCGGACCCCATATAAATAGTGACGCCAGATCTTAAGGGCGAACACTATTGCCCCCAACTCTAAATCATGGGTAGGATACCTCGCCTCATGAGGCTTCAGCTGCCTCGATGCATATGCTATCACATGACCCCTCTACATAAGTACTGCTCCCAACCCTGATATCGATGCGTCACAATATACCACAAAATCCTCCATTCCCTCCGAAAGGGCTAACACCGGGGCTTCGCATAATCTCTGGCGAAGTGTCTCGAAAGAGGCCTGCTGCTCTGGATCCCAAGCAAAAACTACACCCTTTCGGGTCAACTTGGTGAGTGACACGACGATCTTGGAGAAATCCCTGATGAATCTCCAATAATAGCCTGCCAGCCCTAGAAAACTCCTGATCTCCGTGGGCGGCCTCGACACCTCCCAACCCATCACCACCTCAATTTTGGCGGGGTCGACCAATATCCGACTTGAAACTCCAAGGGATTTTGCTGTTTATCAGCGTAGCTCTTCTATTGGTCGTGTGATGCTTGTAGTCGAGCTCTGATTTGAACTATCTTTTCCGTTGTTTAACGTATGATCTCTGGTCCCATTAACATCTTGTCCGATGTCAGTTCTTTCGCTAGCTTGGTGTCACCGACCTCAGCCCAACACAACGGTGATCTACATTTACATCCATACAACGCCTCTAAAGGAGCAACTTTGATGATCATGTGGTAACTGTTGTTGTATGATAATTCAACTAAGGGTAAGTGGGTATTCCATGACTTCCTAAAGACTAACACACATGCGTGAAGCATTCTTCAAGTGTCTGAATGGTTCGTTCGCTTTGACCATCTGTTTGTTGATGATAAGAAGTGCTTATGTCGAGATGTGTTCTTAGAGGTTTTTGAAGTGATTGCCAAAAATGCGAAGTGAATCTACTATCTCTATCTGAGATGATAGACACTAGCACTCCGTGGAGTCTCACAATTTCCTTGATGTATATCCTCATCAAACTCTCCATCTTGTAGGATTCTTTCATTGGTAGGAATTGAGCGGATTTCGTCAATCTGTCGACTATTACCCATATGGTGTCCAATCCATCTGATGACTTGGGTAGCTTGGTCACAAAGTCCATAGTAATCCTCTCCCATTTCCACTCAGGAATTACTGGTTGCTATAATAGTCCTGAGGGCTTCTGATATTCCACCTTTACTTTAGCGCAAGTAAGGCATTTGCTAACATAGGTGGCAATCTCTGCCTTCATGTTAGGCCACCAATGGTGCTGCTTAATATCCATGTACATTTTGTCTGAACCCGGATGGATGGAGTATCGCGTCTTGTGGGCTTCATTCATGACTACCTCTCTGAATCCCCCAAGTTAAGGGACCCAAATGCGGTTCATAAAATAATATGCTCCGCCCTCTTTCACTTCGAGATTCTTTTCCATTCAACGTAATGCTTCACTTGTTTTTTTCTTTGCCTTCATGGCATCGAACTGGGCTGCCCTGATTTGAGAGGTTAATTGGGATTGGATGGTTATCGAGAGAGTTTTCAAGCGACGATTTGAGTATTCTTTCCAACTCAAGGAATCAGCTACAACGTTAGCCTTGCCTAGGTGGTACATGTCACACTCATAATCGTTTAGTAACTCAACCCATCTTCGTTGCCTCATGTTCAACTCTTTTTGATTTAGGATATGTTGGAGGCTCTTGTGGTCCGTAAAAATGGTGCACTTTGTACCGTAAAGGTAGTGCCTCCAGATTTTTAAGGCGAAGACCACGACTCCCAACACCAGATCGTCAATTGTATAATTCACTTCGTGTGTCTTTAGCTGTCGTGATGCATAAGCTATCACCTTCCCACGCTGCATAAGTACACAACCTAAGCCCTGATTCGACGCGTCACAGTATAGTACGAAATCTTCTGTTCCTTTTGGTAATGATAGCAGCAACGCATTGCAGAGTGCTTCTTTCAAAGTTTGGAATGTGGCTTCTTGCTTGTTCATTCATTCAACGGGTATTCCCTTTTGTGTAAGCAAGGTAAGCAGTTTGGCAGTCTTAGAGAAGTTATGGATGAATCTCCTGTAATAGCCTGCGAGACCCAGAAATTGGCGAATTTCTATGGGTGTTGTTGGGACTGCCCATCCTTCGATGGCTTTGACCTTAGAAGGATCCACGTGTATTCCTTCTTGGCTAACAACATGACCTAAAAAGTTCACACTATGAATCCAGAACTCACACTTAGAGAGTTTTGCGTATAGCTTTTCAGTTCGCAAGGTTTTTAGGATTTGTCGAAGATGTTGTCCATGCTCTTCTTCGCTTTGAGAGTAAACTAGAATGCCGTCAATGAAAACAATAACAAACTTGTCGTGGAATGGTCGGCAGATTCGGTTCATTAGGTCCATGAATGCGGCAGGGGCATTCGTTAGACCGAATGGCATTATAAAAAATTCATAATGCCCATATCGAGTTCGGAAAGCGGTCCTCCATCATCGAGAAGAACAACTTTATCATTCCCCAATTGGGTCGTCATCCCTCACTCTATCAATTAACCGTCGCCCACCATCACCGAGAAGAACAACTCTTAACCTACCAGGATACGAAAAGGGAAGGTTCACACCCCTAACACAAACGACTTCTCACAGATAAGCCTTTGTTTCCTCTGATTTCTTGGAATTGTTTTGTATAGGGATTTGGAGTTGTTTATTTTATAGAATTTGACCTAATTATTTTCTACAAAAGAGTTCAATTGAGTAATCTTAATGTAAATTGGATAAAGAAAAACAAAATACAAGTCAAACATGAATTTTTTTTGGAAGAGTATACATAAAAATCTATTTAGATCTTACTAACCATCGCCAAAAGAGATGTCCCTGATAGTTCCAGGGCCTACATCACCTTCGATGTCCACTAGGGTTTTTATGTTTTTGGATCAATATGCATTGAATGATTTGGAAGAAGCAATCTCGAACTCAGAAGTAATAACTGACATGATATTAAATCACTCTTTAATAGTGTATTATTTTAGTTTATCGAATGACAAATTTGGGTAGTTTTGTAAGTTAGCATTTGTTTGGACATTCCAAGGTTCCATAGTGGGGTATTATTTTAAGTTATCTAATGAAAAATAAGAGTTAGGAGTTGACATCTATTTGGAAACTCAACATGGAACTTGTATCACTAGTGTCAACACAGAAGCACAGTCATGCACTACTCATTTCAATTTTCATTAATTCTTTCAATATATAGTTCTACATTTTTCATGCATGGAAAGTATAACAATTATCTAATTTGATAATATAGTCATTAATGCCAAGCTCTCCAAACATGTTAACAATCAATTGAAAAAGGGAGTTGATATATCCACTTGTTTATTTCATTCTTCCACTTAATACAAAAGTGGTCTTCCTTTTATTCCCTTCTTTTAATCGACAAAGATACAAGAAAAAAATGTTTTTCAATTACCAACAATATATAAAGAGAGATAAACGAATTGTTTGTTTTTCTTCTTAATTTATCAATTCCTTTTTTTTCTTATGTAAAAATATCAATTTCTTTTTATCTAATTTTTTTTTTATATATAAAGTTGAACACCAATTTTCATCATCACCTTGAATATTTACGATTTTTAACAGTGAAACTTTTGAATCCATTCCAATCAGATACAAATGGAATCAACAATCTTATGACAATATCCTTTCCAATCAGTTTTAACCTTTAACAATCAATTGAAAAAGGGAGTTGATATATCCACTTGTTTATTTCATTCTTCCATTTAATACAAAAGTGATTTTCCTTTTATTCCCTTCTTTTAATCGACAAAGATACAAGAAAAAAAAATGTTTTTCAATTACCAACAATATATAAAGAGAGATAAAACGAATTGTTTGTTTTTCTTCATAATTTATCAATTCATTTTTTTTTCTTATGTAAAAATATCAATTTCTTTTTGTCTAATTTTTTTTATATATAAAATTGAACACCAATTTTCATCATCACCTCGAATATTTACGATTTTTAACAATGAAACTTTTGAATCCATTCCAATGAGATACAAATGGAATCAACAATCTTATGATAATGTCCTTTCCAATCAGTTTTAACCTTTAATATTTTGAATCCATTCCAACAGTAACATTTAATACTTTTGAATCCATTCCAATCAGGATATTAGCTAAAGCCGTTTCAGATTCTTTTCTCTGTCTTCATATTTTTTGTATCTAATTTAACAAAAGGGGTATAATTGGACCTAAAGCCGGAATAGTTGTGGTATTTGCTGAATCCTTAATAAATAAATTAATTATTCTTTGATGATATATATTTACTTTTAATATATACTAATTGGTTTGTGATATTATAGAATGCATATAAGGATGTTATGATGGCTAGATATGATGATAGTGATAGCCATAAGATCATGAACTATGGTTGAAGCTAGTGAAGGGATCAAGAAAGGAAGAGTTCTTGGATTTGGTTCTGTGTCTGATCCCGAAAGGTTTTTGATGCCTTTTTTTAGTAGCTCCAAGTACATCTTCAGACAACTTAGAGGTTTGTTTATTCTCTTTCACTAACCTGTTATTTTATTTTACTATTTTTTCGGTTTTCATACTTGAAAGTACAATGTTTACTTGTTTTCATATTTTCCTCCTTGAAAGTACAATGTTGTTATTGGTTGGTTCATCTTGAAAGTACAATGCTATCATGTTTTCATCATCACTTGTTGTCTTGTTTTAATGTTTTCCTCGTTGAAAGTATTATGTTATTCTTGGTTCATCTTGATGTTGGTTTGTTTTTCTATTTTACTTCTTGAAAGTACAATGCTATTCTTGGTTGGTTCATCTTGAAAGTATAATATTGACTTGTTTTCCTTCTTGAAAGTACAATGTTATTGTTGGATAGATCATCTTCAAAGCGTTGTTTGTATTTAGTTGTTATTTTTTTTTACTTATTAGTGTTGTTCATGTCACTTAACTTAATATTTGTTAATTTACTTTGTAGGTCATTATGGATCGAATCCGTGAAGAGATGAAGGAAGAACTTATGTCGGAACGTGAAGAAATAAAGCAAGTGCTTTTAGCCGAACGTGCAGAAATGGAGGCACAAAAACAAGAAATTGCGAAGATGTATGACGAAATACTAAAGCTCGCCCAAGGAAATAACACTGATTAGACGTTGGCACTTTTAACTTTTGTGACTTGGTTTTGATACTTTGAAATTGAGTATGAATATTTATTTTGGTAGTCGAATTTTAATGTTTTGAAATCAAATATTAATATTCATTTTGGTAGTCGAATTTATTATTTTGAAATCGAATATGAATGTCTTATTTAGCTTTGTAACATAGAATTTGATTTTAATTATGGAATAGTGGCAAATAATCAGTTATTATATCATATAAACAATTCAGTGACGGATCTGCGACGGATCTGAACAGTGCTAGGAATTTTTGGCAACATCATAATTGGTTATTAAACGTCGTTATTATATAATCAACGACGGATTTACAACGGACATTAATTTTTTCAAGAACATTCTATGACAACATAATCTGTCGCTAACAAAAAAATTTTCGTCGCTGATTCTGTCGCTAACCTTTAGCGGCAAAACTTTTATTGGTGGACTCATTCTGTCGCTGATCGGTCGCTGAAGGTCTTTAGCGACGGATTTCCGACTGGCATTTCCGTCGTTGAAGCCTGTATTTCTAGTAGTGCTTTAGCGGCGACTATACGTCTTTAGCAGCGACTCTCCAGAGGGAATTATTACCGCGTCATTTTTCGATCTTTAGCAGTGACACCTGCAGGTTCTTTACCGGTGACGCAAGTCGCCGGTATTGAGTTTATGCGTTCCAAGACCACTCTAGTCGTTGGATTAGAACTACGATCGGACGATTCCTGTTTACCAGAACGTCAAAACGCGGATCAGTGTCATTCAGCCTTTAGTGGCGACAACTGCAGGTCTTTACCGGCGACACAAGCCGCCAATATTGAGTTTATGCATTCCAAGACCACTCTAACCGTTGGATTAGAACCACGATCGGACAATTCGTGTTTACCAGAACATCAAAACATGGATCGATGTCTTTCAGCCTTTAGCGGCGACACCAATAGCGGCGAAAGTCGCCGCTATTGGTGTCGCCGCTAAAGGCTAAATTTCTTATAGTGAGGGATTATTAAATAAAAAACTATTTAATAAAACAATTTGGGCAAATCTAGTATTTTAAAAATTAAACAGAAAAAATATGATATTTAAAGTTTACGTCGGAAAAATATAATATATAGACATTTAATAAAAATATGTTTAAAATTCTCCTTAAAATAAAAATCTTTTGAAACATATATGAAATTAATGCCGCCTCTTATCATAGTATTTAAGCTTTGATTTAGCGTTTCCTTTTCTCCACTTATTTATCACCTAACAAAATTAAGTCTTTTTTTTTTTATTTTTTTTTGTTTTTTATTTTTTTATTTTTTTTTAAATCAAACCACTATGTTAAGACTATCATCCTAGATTATTTTTCTTATTTGTCACTTTGAATATAGAATTTAACAAAAATAAATATTTTTTTATCCATCAAACCCATTAACTATATATATATATATATATATATATATATATATATATATATATATATATATATATATATATATATATATATATATATGGGAAAAATGAATATACCCTTAAGGGTATATAAGGTTAGGTACCCAAACTCATTATACTACATCGTTTTGTATCATATATATATATATATATATATATATATATATATATATATATATATATACATTGTAATTATCCAATGTTCTTATAATTCAACTTCTAAGTTGATTTACTTTTAAGATTTTTATTAATTTCACATTTATATTCTTTTTACATAATTTTCATTTTCAACTATAATATATATAGCCTAGTAAGTGTTCGGCAAAAAGATGTGATGTAAGAGTAAGATAATAATGAAATTTCGAAAATTTTGAAAGTAAATCAAGTCAAGGGTTGAAGTTTAAGAACATTATAATAAATATGTTAAACAAAATTACGTATTATAATGGGTTTGGATACCTAAACTTATATACCCTTAAGGGTATATATATATATATATATATATATATATATATATATATATATATATATATATATATATATATATATATATAATATATATATATATATATATATATATATATATATATATATATATATATATATATATATATATCATATTATTGTACAAAGAAAATAAATTTCAAATAAATATATATCAAATCATTTCCAAACAAATATATTCAAATCGCACAGACATTAAAAAAAAGAAGAAAATTTAACGATATAACATTCATCATATTCAAATTTCATATCACCACTTGAGAATTTGGAAATATCTATAATTGTATCTTCTTTATATTTTGGAGTTTATAAACTAGTATTACCGGCGACGGGCGTCGCCGCTAAAGGTCGAAAATATTGCCGCTAAAGGGTTGCTGCTATTGGTTCATCGCTAATGCTCCACTGGTCGTTGCTATTGCCTTCTGTCACCGCTAAAGGCGAGTCGCTACTAATACTATCTGTTACCACTAAAGGTGGTGCCGTTATTTGTATGTATTTTTTATACATACAAATACACATACATACATAGTACACGTACAAAATACACATATACATACGACAACACATACACGTACATAATTTACATACATATACATATAAATGAGCATGCAAACACACACACACACACACATATATATATATATATATATATATATATATATATATATATATATATATATATATATATAATACACTCAAGATACACATATACATACAAATGCAAATACAAATACATATCCACATCTACAAACACAGAATACAAATACAAATACACATCTAATATATCAAAATTATCAATATTTTGCCATGAACAGTGGTGGCGGTATACTTCGGCGAGAATGGTGAGGGGTTTCAAAATTCCGACAACCATCACAAATTTTTTAGGGAGAAGAGAAAAGGAAAAGAAAAGGGGGGGAAATGGAGAGGAAGAACGGTGCAATATCGAAGATTTCAGTGAAATTCCTATGGAGTTGAAAGTGGTGAGCAGAGAGAAGAGAGAAGAAGGTGTCGTTGTTATTGCCTATTATTCTTGTAGTGTATAATGCAAATACACACCAAATATATCATATTTAATGGTTCTTCACCCGAAGTAGAAAATAGAACTTTTTTTTGAACCAACAAATTTTATTAAAAGAATGGAAAGAAGAACTCAAACCCCCAACATGTAGCCAAGTAGTAAGAGGGAGAAATGTACACATAAATCCGTCTTAGACTCCAATGTTTCTAAACTCAACCGTGAGCTATGATCTCCTAATAAAACGTTAGATCATAGGCTCTAACATGTTAATACAAAGACATTATACTACACCAATGGGTATAATAAACATTAATTATAAGAAATATTATAATAATTAAATTTAAAATACATTAATTATAAATAATATTTTTTTATCATTAATACATTTTATATTTTTCAATAAAAAATTTCTCTATAGTTAATAAATTTCATATTTAATTATGATGAAATTTCACATAATTAATATCTTTTATGTGTGAACTTATTAGAAAATCCCGATTAATGATTTGAAATATCATCTCCCATAAAAAAAATACTATTATGTCCATTTAATAAACGAATGTTTTGTAAAATCCTATGGATAAAGACAAGTTTTGTTAATAATTAACCAAAGGGTATTTAAACATTGTGGATAAGTAAATCAAATAGAATTTGAATTATAGTCAAAATAGTTTAAGTTTCCTTTATGTTAGGCACAATTTGTTCTATTATTTAAAGATTTATCCTCTTCTACATACTCCTACAATTGGTGAATCGTAATGACGACAGTAACAAAATTTTTAACTGCTCCCATGTTTTACTTGCTTTTCACCATCACGAGAGGGTGGAAATCTCGGATGATCAAAGCCGATCCCTTATGCGAGCGTGACATGTCGTACGTCTATTTGGCATTTATCATGTTTTATTTAATCTATCTAGCGGTTTGGTATCTAGTTTGCTCGAACGCAACACCAGCTCTTCGTAGGATTCACTGGCTTATGGCTGCATTGGTCCTTATGAAGGCGCTCACAAACTTGATGCCAATTATTCATGGGAATGTCTTCGTCTTCCTTTCTGTCTTCCTTTCTCTGGTGATGAGTATTAGCCGTTTGTCTTTAATCATTGTGTTGATTAGAAAGTGTAGGCCTTTCGTGAATCCTTTTTTGCATGATGTGGATAGATACGTTTTTACAGTGACAATCCTGCTTCTAATTTTGGGTGAGATAATTAAGATAATCATAGGTGTAACTGGCCCCATTATTATTAAAGACCAGGATGCTTCGGAAGATATGCTTTTTTGGATATATTCTTGGATTCGCTATGAATTGGTATTTTATATATATGATAATCTTATTATGCCTAGGGTGAATATTGATGAAAGGACGACTGAAGTTAGGTACTTCTATTTAGCGGTTATGGTATATTTTTTGGTTTTGCGTATGATAAAAAATTTAAAAAACTTTGGCGATATTGATGAAGAAAATGCTATTTGTTTTCACGTGGTGCATTATACTTTGTTGGAGGAAACATCGAGTGAATTGTTCTACCCGTTGATGCTTAAAATGTTCACGGATCACTTTACTCTTGTCGATGAGATGCTGCGCAAAAATTTAAGGGATTACAATTGTGATGTCCATGATCATGATGAATAGCAGCAGAGGTGGATACTTGGGATGAGGAGTTTGATTATATTGAAATTTGATATTAATTTTTTGTTTTTTTTATTTGTTGTCAACTATGGAATTTGATGTTAAAATTGATCATAGCCGGTTCTTTTCCATTTATTTTAAGTTAATTCATGCCTAAGATTTTACATAAAATTGCAAATATTATAGGCACTACTACAAGAAAGGGCATTATCAATGGCCAAAACGTCGGTAATCCGTCGCTATCGACTATACCTACTGAAATGCAACATATCCAAATAGGTTTGTATATTTTTGTCGGTAAATGTTTGTGATGGATTTCCGACATCTACTACTAATTAGCGAAATTTTTTGCCATCGGCAATAGTAACGGTTTATTGACGAAATGTGTTTTAACTGATTACCGGTGGAACTGGTTTCCAATGGATTATTGAAGGAATACCCTAACGGATTGCCGACGAAATATGTGTGACGGATTACCAATTGATTTTAGCATTATAAAAAAATTAAATCTTGAGAATCCAAAAACATTTATGTATTCAAATCAGAAAAATCTTAAAACATATATCAAATAAATATTTCAAAACCAACATAAAAGTAAACAAGTTCGTATAGACAAACTCTAAGTCTATAAATTTTAAATACATATTCATTAGACATTAAACCAGAATAGTAAAGATATAGAAACATAGTTACCATTCATTAAACTAATATACATAACATGAAGTTTTTAATGAATCCCAAGCATTTGTGAAACAAAATATATGGAGTTTTTTTTGTTACATATAATGAGAGGTTTAGAAAACTGGTCTTAAAAAAGAAATGCAACAAAAGATAAGAAAAAAATCTAAAAGCAAAAAATAACAATGTACATTCTATTTTTTCCCCATATAATAGCATTAAACTTTTGGAATTCTTTAGACCATAAGGTGTAGACAACTAGATGTAACACCATTTTGGTGTCACATCACATATCACATCATCAATGGTGTTATAACACCAAGTGAGAAAATTGGTAACATGTTGTATCTTGTTATGATACCAACTTTTTTTCCATTTTATAATTTATTTTTTATTTATTTCGTTTTTTTTTTAAACCGAGACAAATATTTTTTAAATATAAATAATAAATAAAACATAATGTTTAAAAATTATAAAAAATAATTAAAAAATTTTAACGATTAAAATTAACATAAAGACTAAATTACACATAATATCCAAAAACAAAAAAAGAAATAACATCCAAATTAAAAAAAAAAAAAAAAAAAATACAACGCTATTCGTTATCGTTATTGTTACCATAGAAAATATAATCCGTCAAGTTCTCTCGAAGTTGTCTGTGTTCATTTGCGTCCTGAATGTCAACAACGCGATGCAAATAATTTGTTGTTCCT